AGTTTACTAATATTTTATAAAGTCTGGAATTATCATAAATAACAAAGATAAGGGAGAAAACGGGGCTGCAGATGTCAACAGCTACCTCGTTACTCCTAGTCACCGCCTGGCCTGGAAAGAATCAGCGCTCAGGAGCGAACTCAGCTCTGCCTGTATTTGCACACATGGTGCAGGGAGTAATGTGAGTACTCCGACCCAGTGAGTAATAAAAATAAATAATGATTGAAAACATGAAATCTCATAACGGCACAATATAGCGCTATCCCAAGCTATAAAATTNCCCAGTGCGATATCCATTTCGCTCGTTAAACAATTACTCATGTTTCGCGTCAAAAACCTAATCGTGGCTTGATAAAATTAGACCAAAATTTCCAGATTAGTCCTATAATTCATTATCAAAATTCCGGAAGTCTCGGAATCAAATTTGAATCTCTAGAACTAAAAATGAACCTTCAGATCATTACATTTATGCTCAAAATGGCAATAATCTTCCAAAAACTCTTCCAAAACTTATCCGAGCCTCATGGGACCCCGACCAAAAATGCCAACATAATTCATAACATCATTAAAACCTGCTCAAATCATCAAAGTACCTCAAACAACATCAAATTACCCAAAACTCATCGAATTCAAGCCTAAGTTTCCAAAAACTTCCGAAAATATACGTTCGATCAAAAACCCGACCAAACGATGTCCGAATGACCTGAAATTTTGCACACACATCACAAATGACATAACAAAGCTATATCAATTCTCGGAATTCTATTCCGACTCCCGGATCAAAATCTCACCTATCAACCGGAATTCGCCAAAATACTAACTTCGCCAATTCAAGCCTAATTCTACACCGGACCTCCAAAATTACGTCTGATCACACTCCTAAGTTACAAATCATCCCCCGAAGCTAACTGAATCATCGGAATTCAAATCCGAGCCCTCTAACACATAAGTCAATGTTCGGTTGACTTTTCCAACTTAAACCTCCTTAAAAGAGACTAAGTGTCTCAAACCTTACCAAAATCATTCCGGAATGACTTCAAATTTTGCACACAAGTCACATTCAATATTACGGACTTGCCCCATCTTTCAGAACCACATTCCGACCCCGATATCAAAATTTCCACTTCCGATCGAATTTTCTCAAAAACCTTC